GCCCAATCTGAGCTCATCGGATGGAGTGGTTTTTTTCTGGGCTGCAGAAACAGGTCTGAGTTACAAGCTACTAGAAAGGGTAAACACAGAGGAAAAATCCTATAGCCATAGACATTCCCCTCAAGCCCTCTATGATTCCTAACTTGTACCAAGCCCACCAAGCCCAGCAGGAACCAGGAGGCAGGGTTTCCATTGTTACTGGTACTGAGAACTAGGAACTTGGAATTCAAGTTCCACCACGATGGCCTGCTGATCAATAGAGTTTCTTTTTGAAACCTCAGAAGGGCCTCATCTTTCTTGATTAAATCCAAGGCTAAGAGCCACACCCTAAGATTTAAGGCAAAACCCAAACAACTCCACCCTGGAAAAAGCTTAAAATCAAGCCTCAGGATCAAAGTGCTCCATTGCCAGAAAAAAACCCAATGTAGTTTATAGGAAGACTGAAAAAAAATCAGATTCCTATCTATAATATCCATCATATGATTAAAAAAAATTTATCCACCAAGCTGAGTGTGGGTGGCTGACACCTGTAATCCTAGCTACTCAGGAGGCTGAGATTCCAAGGATTGCAGTTCAAAGCCAGCCCAGGCAGGAAAGTCAGTGAGACTCTCATCTCCAATAAACTACTCAGAAAAAGCTGGAAGTGGCACTGTGGCTCAAATGGTAGAGCATTAGCCTTGAGCAAAAAAGAGCTCACGGAACCCTATTACACTGCTGGTGGGAATGTACACTTATACACCCACTTTGGAAAGCAGTCTGGAGGGTCCTTAGAAAGCTAAAGATTGACCTCCCTTACGACCCAGTCATACCACTTCTAGGCATCTACCCTGAACAACAGGAACCAATATACAAGGACACGTGCACCTCTATGTTTATTGCAGCACTGTTCGCAATAGCTAGGATATGGAAACAACCTAGATGCCCCACCACAGATGAATGGATCCAAAAATTGTGGTATCTATACACAATGGAATATTATGCAGCCATTAGAAATGACAAAATAATGGCATTTGCAGGGAAATGGATGGAGCTAGAAGGAATCATGTTGAGAGAGGTAAGCCAAGAGCAAAGAGGCAAACGGTACATGGTCTCCCTGATAAGTGGATGCTAAATCCAAAATGTTAGGTGATACGACAAAACTAACAGGACTTAAGAAACAAAGAACTCCCACTCATCTAGTCGAACCACTACTAAATATCCCCATGCTGCTGATCACATGTATGGTGTATCTGTGTACACCGTTATATGTTATAGACTGTGATAGACAATTTGCTCCAGGAAAGTTAGAATGAACTTGTGACTTTAAATGAGCATCATTATTCCACAATACTGTGAAATTTGGGAAATTATGTAATCACTTAATCACAATTAAAAAAAAAACAAACCTCGGGGAAGGTAGGGAGGGAAAGGATGGTAGGGGGAAAACAATGGAGGGGGTAACAATGCTCAATAGGAAGTGTACTCATTACCTTGCTCATGTAACTGTAACCCTCTGTATAGTATCTTTACAATAAAAAATTAAAAAAAAAAAAAAGCTCACGGACAGACTTCAAGCCCCAGGACCAGCAAACAAAACAAAACAAAACACCCCCAAAACAAACCAAAAAATGTACAATGACTAGTATGTAATAAAATTATTAGACACTTACCCATAATGTCTAGTATATAATGAATGCTAATTCCTAGACATGTAGGCTGGAGAAAGTGACCCAAAACCAAGAAAAGAGAATCAATAGGTACAGTCTTTCAGAGAACCCAATCATTCAACACAGTGAAGAGAATTATGATGAAGCAATATGATAGAGAATAACTGGTTACTGAGAAGGAATTTAAGTAAGAGAGAGACTTACCTAACTTACATTGTTTATTTTCCTTTGACTAAGACAGACACTTCAAATATATAAATGCTAATTGCATTTCACATATTTAGCTCTCTATGCATGCCTTTCATTTTCTATTGGATTGGTGATTTTGTCTTTGTAATGTATTCATTTGTTTATTGTGGCAGAAGCTCTTGGTTTTTTTATTTTTGTTTTATATTAAGGAATTAACCCTTTGCCTCTACCAGGTTACATATCATTTAATCCTTTGAATTTTGCCTTTGCTTTTGGCATTCATCCTGCCATGGGAAAAAATTCTCCTACCATTAAACTCATCACTGCTTTCTTTAAGGCCTTCAACACTCCAGTATTGTTTAACTTTTTTTGAGGAATTTATCTACATCTTTAAAAGATGATTCTGATCTAGGTGCAGCTAGTGTAGGTAGTCAGGAAACTGAGATCTGAGGATCACCGTGTGTGTGTGTGTGTGTGTGTGTGTGTATCTTTAAAAGATGATTCTGATCTAGGTGCAGCTAGTGTAGCTAGTCAGGAAACTGAGATCTGAGGATCACCGTGTGTGTGTGTGTGTGTGTGTGTGTGTGTGTGTGTGTGTGTGTGTGTGTGTGTGTGTGTGTGTGTGTGTGTGTGTGTGTGTGTGCGCGCGTCTCCTAGAGCTTGAACTCAGGGCCTGTGCTCTGACTCCGAGATGTTTTTGTTCAAGGTTAATGTTTACCACTTGAGTCACAGCTCCATTTCCAACTTTTTAGTGGTTAATTGGAGATGAGTCATACAGAATTTCCTGTCTTGTCTGACTTTGAACCTCCGGAGGATCACATTTTTGGGGGGGGAGGGGGGTCCGGTTGTGGGGCCTTAACTCTGGGCCTGGGCACTGTCCCTCACCTCTTCAGCTCAAGGCTAGCACTCTACCACTTGAGCCACAGCGCCACTTCTGGCTTTTTTCTTATGTGTTGCTGAGGAATCGAACCCAGGGCCTCATGCATGCAAGGCAAGTGCTCTACCACTGAGCTACCTTCCCAGCCCCCGGAGGATCACATTTTGAAGCCAGCACAGGCACACAAATCCTCCAATCCCCTTATCTCCAATTAATCAGCAAAAAGGTAGAAGTAAAGGCATGGATCAAGTGGTTGAGTGCCAACCTTGAGCAAAATAAGTAAGCAAAGAGCACAAGAACACCTTGAGTTCAAGTTCTACTACTAACAAAAAAATAAAAAAAAGAAAAGAAAATCATTCTGGCTATTCATAGAAAATGGACCCTAGAGAAATTATAAGGCCAGCATGGGAGAACATAAAGAGATGGGGTTTGGTCTCTATAGAATAAGTAATTTTTTTTACTCTATCTCTTATTAACCTGCAAGTCTGGTCTTCAAATTGCTCACTGCCCTTAGTCAGTTTCTTTTCTTTTGTTTCTTTTTTCTTTTTTTGGGGGAGGGGGGGTGTCGGTCGTGGGTCTTGAACTCTGGGCCTGGGTGCTCTCTCAGCTCTTCAGCTCACTCTACCACTTGGGCCACAGCGCCACTTCTGGCTTTTTCTGCTTATGTGGTGCTGAGGAATCGAACCCAGGGCCTCATGCATGCAAGGCAAGCACTCTACCACTGAGCCACCTTCCCTTTAGCCAGTTTCTTTACTTATAACTTCCATAACTTGTAATCATCATGATAAGGATGAACACTTTTAGTGTTCTTCTCCCAAGTACTTTCCATCTCGCAGCTGTTGTTTCACTTAATCTTTATAATAGTCTTACAATGAGAGACTGGTCATAAGGAAGTTAAGCCCTTGTCTGAGTCACACATGAAGTGGTAGAACCAGAATTTGAACACCAGCATTCCAACTCATGCTTTTGAGTCATGGAAGCAACCCTAGGTAGCTAGCCAACTTCAGTACAGCCCGGGATGAACAGTGTGAATGTGTGTATATGGTGCACTTAGAGTTCACCTCAGCTGGAGAAGAGGAAGGTGTGCAACATGGCTGACAGAGACCTGAGTTTGCTTACTATCTGGGTGACACTGTGAGTAGTAGCCAAAGTCTTTCCTCTTGTTTATTTTGTTCCTTCTCCTCTTTCTCAAGGCTAGCTCTTAGCTCTTAGCTCAAGGCTAGCACTCTACCGTTTACCAAGTGCCACTTCCAGCTTTTTTTTTTCCTGCTTATGTGGTGCTGAGGAATCGAACCCAGAGCCTCATGCATGCAAGGCAAGCGCTCCACCACTGAGCCACCTTCCCATCCCATGAAACACTATATTCCTTAGCAGTCTCCATCATTCTTAGCTCAGTTCCAGACTACCACTAATTGGTTTAGTGTCTCTGTCCCTTTAAACCTCAGGTGGCATTTCCTAATCTGTGAAGTATATTGGGAGAGGGGATTGTATTGGCCTTGTCTCTTCCACAGGGGCTCCCGGAGAGGTGGTGGAGAAGAAGATGCAAAACAGAGAGGCCCAAAACAGCCTAAATGGTGCTGTCTCAAAAATAGGGCCTGAAATAGTTATGAGGGTGTGAGTATGGTTAGGTATAGGCAGAGGATGAATGGTTTGAAAAGTTTCTAGAAGGAGAAGAGTATGGAAACCAGTGAGTGAGACAAAATGCCTGCAGGCCAGAGGGCTTTGGCAAAACTTTGGTGTGTCAGGGAGATGGAGACTGGGCCTGCAGTGTGGGGTGTGAGCAGTGTACCTCTACAACCCCTCCCCAGCTGCTCCAAAACAATTACAGGCCTGTAAGAGAGGAACAATAACTAATAATAAGCTAGAGCAACTGAAATGACATGCTATAGTAAAAGCTGTGTCAAACTTAGGAAATGTTTATTTCTGCCACTTTCCATTGATGATATATTTTCAGCTGCAGTTGACAGTGGAAAATGCAACTGCAGGTGAGGGGGAACTAATAAGTACAGGACTGGATCTGCTGCCTGCAGTTGGGTTTGCTGTGGAGTTTACATCCTAGGGGGGATGGGGCTGGACTACAGGTGGGTTGTGCCTCCCCTGGGCACAGGGGTGGGGGTGGGAGAGGCATACTAGTGCCCCTCTCTCCACCTTGAGGGGGACTACATAAGGGCTGAGTGACCGCCATATAAAGTGACTGACATTCTAGGCAATGATCAGTGTCTATTGGCTTCACCAGGCCTCAAGGGTCACCATAATAGTTTCATGTCCCACCTTCTCTTTCCTTCCAGAAGCCGACATCTTCCTCATCTTCAGCCATGGACTGCAAGGTTGTTTGGAATCTCAAGGTGCAAAGGTCCGAGTCACCCCAGCCTGCAACACCAGTCTCCCAGCCCAGCGCTGGAAGTGGGTCTCCCGGAACCGGCTTTTCAACCTGGGTGCCATGCAGTGCCTTGGCACGGGCTGGCCAGGCACCAACAGCACAGCCTCCTTGGGCATGTATGAATGTGACCGGGAGGCCCTGAGTCTCCGCTGGCAGTGCCGCACCCTGGGGGACCAGTTGTCCCATCTGCTAGGGGGCAGCGTAGGCAATGCATCCAAGCCTGGCCCCCTGGAGCGCGGAGACCACACCCACAGTGGCCAGTGGCGTATCTATGGCAGTGAGGAGGATCTGTGTGCTCGGCCCTACTATGGTGAGGAGCTGCCTGCAGGCAAGGGAAGGGTCCCTGGTGTCATGGTGACTGGAGCAATGAGGCCTTTGGTTTTCTCTGGACCACTTGGCTGTCACCTTTTTAATTATAATTGGAAGCTTTCTATTTATTTTTTTTTGGACGAGTGGGGGGTGGGGGGAGGGGATGCTGGGCCTTGAACTCAGAGCCACAACCCTACTTCCAGCTTTTTGGTGGTTATCGGAGATCAGAGTCTCATATAGCTTCATACTTGGGTTGGCTTTGAAACAAGGTTCTCCGATCTCAGCCTCCTGAGTAGCTAAGATTATAGGCATGAGCCATTAGTGCCCAGCTAGGAAGTATTTGTTTTTTGAATAATTGGGAAAATTAGCTTTAAAGGAGTTACCTTTAAGAAATGAAGAATGAATGCTGCTCAAAAAGCCTTTAAACAGTATAACCTAAAACTCAGTGGTAACTCCCTTCCCCCAGGGGACTAGCTTGGGCAACATGGCACTGGATTAGCTACTAGTGAATGTTATCCAGTGAGGAGCCGCTGGTGGTGGGCAGCTCCACTGTTTGGGCTCTTTTCTGGAAGCTGCCCTGATCTCGTGGTAGAATTTTTAGTCCCATGGCTAATTTTGTTTTTGTAATTAAAAAAAATGTGTATTATAAAGGTGATGTACAGAAGGGTTACAGTTCCATAAGTCAGGTAAAGAGTACATTTCTTTGTGGACAATGTCAATTCTTCCCTTGCTCTCTCCCAGTTCCTATGGCTGATTTTATAGGGCTCAGCCCTTGGGGATGACTTAGAGCTGCCCTCATTTAGATGGGCGTTCAAGGGATTGGGGAGGCCCTGTTCTCTCCCATGGGGTGAGCCATGAGCCTGTGCCAGCTCCAAGGAGAGGACACCTTAGAGTTATCTAGCACCATTGTCCCTCTCAGTCTCTTCTGACTGCATCCACTCCCTGGCCCCCTGAGTTAGAGGGGGCTTTCCCTGAGAAGAGAGAGGTTGTGGGGTGGGGTCCACCAGCCCAGGGCCTGACTCTGCTCCCCTACAGAGGTCTACACCATTCAGGGGAACTCCCACGGAAAGCCATGCACCATCCCCTTCAAATATGATAACCAGTGGTTCCACGGCTGCACCAGCACAGGCCGCGAAGATGGGCATCTGTGGTGTGCCACCACCCAGGACTATGGCAAAGATGAGCGCTGGGGCTTCTGCCCCATCAAGAGTGAGAGCGGGGCGGGTAGGGAGGCATCTGGAGGGAGGCTGGTGATGAGAGGCTGGGAGCTGGGAAAGCGGCTTCAGTGGGAGCTGAAGAAGCTATGGGACTGGGGTGAGAAACCCTCCTCTGTGGCATAGACTTCTGTGCTTCCAGAGAGATGCTGGGTGGGGCTAAGGGATCACCTGCTGGGGAAGAGCCATCCATAAGTCCATTGGTTGTGGGGCTAGGTAATGATTGCGAGACCTTCTGGGACAAGGACCAGCTGACCGACAGTTGCTACCAGTTTAACTTCCAGTCCACGTTGTCCTGGAGGGAGGCCTGGGCCAGCTGCGAGCAGCAGGGGGCAGACCTGCTCAGCATCACTGAGATCCACGAGCAGACCTACATCAATGGTAAAGTGGAGGCAGCCCCTGCAGCGAGGTTGGTGGGCTGGAGTCTAGTCTACCCTGGGTACAGGATGCAGTGTCAGCAAAGCCTGAGACTTCCCTCAGGTGGCGACCCTGCCCCCTTTCTGCATGTGAGGAGGGGTGAGGAGAGGAGAGAAAGCTGGAGGGCTGAGGATGGGACTCCTCCCTTCTCATTGCTCCCTCTTGCTGCCAGGGCTCCTCACAGGCTACAGCTCCACACTGTGGATTGGTCTTAATGACTTGGACACCAGTGGAGGCTGGCAGTGGTCAGACAACTCGCCCCTCAAGTACCTCAACTGGGAGAGTGGTAAGACCATGGGGTTTGGGAACTCAGGGACCCTACAAGTACTTGGCTTCCATCTCCCCTGCTCCAGTGCGAGTAGGTGAGACCCACATTTCCACTCGTGCTTAGACTGGGCTGTGCAGGTTCATGCAATGACTTGACACAAAGTAGAAATGGGCCCCTCCCATTAGGCTCCCTCCCCTGTCCCAAAACTCGGGGAATGGTCCAGGGTTCAGCCTCCAGTCACAGGTTTGGACAGTGTATATCCAGATCCAGTGCCCTGGAGGCCTGAGTAGGGAGGTCGGCATGGGGGCTGCTGTACATTGCAGAGTAGAAGGTTCAGGACTGTTTGGGCCCAGGTGAGAAAACAAGAGGATCTAACAGTGGAGCTGGCACTGAGGCCTGACTTCCTCCAGCTAGCCCTGGAAGTAGAGGGAGCAGGACACTCCATGGGCCACAGGGTGAGCTTCTGTCTCCTGGGGTGCCGGTGCTCTGCCCATCCCATAGATCAACCAGACAACCCAAATGAGGAGAACTGTGGCGTGATCCGCACTGAGTCCTCAGGCGGCTGGCAGAACCGTGACTGCAGCATCGCACTGCCCTACGTGTGCAAGAAGAAGCCCAACTCAACCACTGAGCTGACCCCTCCAGGTGAGCCAGGGGCTGTGCCACAGGTGTGGATGTGGGAGTGCACGTGCGTGAGGTTTATTAGGGTTATAGCCAAGGGGGCTCAGCCTCCCTTCTTGTTATGTCCACAAGGTGAAGTGGTTCTCATCTTCTCTCTCTCTATTTAATTGTTCACCTAACGTTTGAACAAGTTTGAATGTGCTGTCCATTCATTTGAGAAACATTTGTGGGAACCACGTTAAAGATTGGTAATATTCTTGGTGCCCTGTGGAGACCATAGTCAGTTGGAGGAGACAAGATCTATAAACACATAATTAGAATACCTTGAGTTACGGGCTGTTGTAGTAATATGTATAATAAGTGCTAGAAAAGAAACTGATGAAGTTTCTGGCACTTGAGAGTTTGGTGAAGTGACATGTGACTTGTGCCTTTCAAGTTGAGAGCAAAGACAGGTGTGGGGACGCTCACGTGCAAAGGCGTGGAGACAGGGAAGAAGAGCCCCCAAGGTGAGTCTGTGGTTGAGTTGGAGAATAGGCCCTACTTCTTCCAAGTGGGGTCTTCAGCCAACTTCACACACGAGCAGTACCACATCATCTAGAAGTATGTTAGAAATGAAGCCAATAGGTCTTGCCCCAGATTAACCGAACCAGACCTTTCTTTTTTTCTTTTTTTTTTTGTTGGTTGTGGGGTTTGAACTCTGGGCTTGGGCGCTGTCCCTGCACTCTTCAGCTCAAGGCGAGCTACTGCTTGAGCCACAGCGCCACTTCCAGTTTTCTGGTGGTTTATTGGAGATAGGAGCCTCATGTTGCCCAGGCATCAGCCTCAGATCTCAGCCTCCTACTCAGGATTACAGTGGTGTGAGCCACTGGCACCCGGCTCAGACCCTTCTTTTAAGGGTTTCACGTGAGCCCTGTGCAGGAACCATTTGGGTGTGGGGATGAGAAGAGAGTTGAGAAAGGCAGGTTGCAACCAGTCTCAGAAGAAGCTTGACTGCTGGGTGAAGTTGGGTGAGGCCAGGTAGCCTGTGGGGAACCTTTGCAGGTTTTTAAGCTCCTTTGGATGATTTACAGAGATAGTTCTAGTGTCTTATAGGAGAGATGGAGGAGTTTGGGACTATGAACAAAGCCTGTTTGGGGGGGCTTTACCCCTTACTGGTTTGTGGCCATGCACAACAGTTTGGTCTCTGGGTTGCAAAATCCTTACTTACATATTACAAATAAATGCAGGCATCCTGCCACCACCCTGCAAAGCTGAGTCCTGGCCCAGGGTGCCAGTGCTCCTGGACACCCTGCCTGGCTTTATCAGTACAGCCTACTGGGCTACTGCTACTTGTTTGGGTAACCTCATAGCTGTGGAATAAAGAGGGAGTTTTCATTACAAAAAATATAGTAAAATAAAAATATATAGCAAAACCAGAAAAATTCACAAACCTGTGAGGTTGGGGAGTTTGAGCGCCAACTTTCTGCTCTAGACTGTGAAACTCGCCAAAAACTGACTCAGGACTGCCAGCTACTGCATTCTCAAGTGACCCTTTTGTGTGTGTGTGGGGGGGGGGGGGGGCGGGGGTAGGAGCAAGCCCCGGTCAAGGCAGCCCTCCTCTGGCTGGGGGAAGCCTGGGTAGTCATCAATCCTGGGTCTTCCCAGAAATGGCTTCTGATTTTTCCCTGCCCCCAAGGCTAGTCCTGCTCCAGCCCGGAGGATGGTCTGTGCCCTCGGATTTCCTCCCTCCTCCCTCCTCCTCCATTCCCAGGCATAATCTAAGCAGTTATTCGGGCGGGTGGGTTCTGCTTTTGGGGTGTCATCACATAAGTCATGTCATTTCTGAGGGTGGCGCCATTGCTATCCTGCGCCTGCGTTCCCCAGATAAGGAATCACCTAAAATCCGTTCTGTCGAGAGCGGCAGCTTCAGGTCGTAGCTCATTGGCTAGCGAAAGATGATTGACGTCTTCTGAGCCAAGGGGTGAGCCGGAGCTGGCTGTTAGCCCACCCACTTTGCTAGGTCTCCTGGAAAAGGTGTGTCTGGAGCATCCAGAAAGAAAATCCACGTTTGGGGCAATGCTTCGAGTAAGCACAGGTCTTCCTGCCTGGCCAGGCGGAATCCTGCCCGAGCCTGACACTGTGGGTGGTTTGAAGAAGTCCTGTTTTCTCTTGCCAAGACCCAAGTGAGGGCTTGTTTGCCTCAGCTGCCCTCAGAACCCAGTCCCTAAAGGGTGAAGCTGAAATGCATGGTCCTGAGTGCAACAGGGCTTTGGGGTGCATGGAGAGGAATTGGGGGTGGAAAAGGAGCCAGAGGACGAATCCTAGCCAGGGGATGTGACTAAGTGCAGCCACTTTATGCATCCCTTGATCCTGACTGCTCACCCAACCTGTGACCTGCTCAGTTTCCTGGTGCTGTTCAGACTGGTCCTTGTGATTACCTCAAGGCCCTGTCCCTTCATCAAAGACTTCCCAGGCCAGCACAAAGTTGGTGCTCAGTGACTTATTTGCCAGAATAATTAGGATTCCATTTATTAAGTAATGTGGCCACAAGCTAAGTTTGATTCACATAGCAGGAAACACCATTTGCAGAGGAGAAAACAGGCCTAGGCGGCTGTGTGTGTGTGTGTGTGTGTGTGTGTGTGTGTGTGTGTGTGTGTGTGTGTGTGCCAGTAGTGGGCTTAAGCTCCGGGCCTAGGTGCTTTCCTTTAGCTTTCTTGCTCAAGGCTGGTATTTCCACGTCTAGCTATTTGGTGGTTAATTGGAGATGAGTCTCATTAACTTTCCTACCCCAGGAACTGGTTTCAAACTAAAATCCTTAGATCTCAGTCTACTGACTAGCTAGGATTACAGATGTGAACCACCAATGCCCAGAGTGAACTTCAATCTTTATTTTTTGTTATGTGGTACCAAGGAATTGAACCCAGGGCCTCATGCGTGCTAGGCAAGCACTCTTCCATTAAGCCACATTCCCAGCCCCACGAGTTTTCATCTCAATCTTGGTCTCTGCCTCTCAAGTAGTTGAGAATGCCAGTGTGAACTACCACCCTGGGCTCTAAGAAGGGTTTTGTTTTCAACATCCACACTGGTCTGAATGGGGAAGGCCAATATGAGACATATTTGGGAAGAAGATGACTTGGTGACAGTCCTGATTGTGTTGACATCCAATGAGCTGGTATGTATCCAGTCTGGGCAACTCTGGGCAATGGCCATGTGGGTCTCTCTCTGCAGACAGGTGGGCCAACGTGAAGGTGGATTGTGAACCGAGCTGGCAGCCCTTCCAGGGCCACTGCTACCGCCTGCAGGCTGAGAAGCGCAGCTGGCAGGAGTCTAAGAAGGCGTGTCTTCGGGGTGGAGGTGACCTGCTCAGCATCCATAGCATGGCTGAGCTGGAGTTCATCACCAAGCAGATCAAGCAAGGTGAGGGGCTGCCTGGTCTCATGGCTGGGGTGGAGGGCTGGGCCTATCTGCTGTCCATCCGGTTCTTTATCCAGGAAGTTCAGAGAATGTTCCTCCTCTCCCTGTGGGTGGCTGACTTGTCTGTGTCTTCTCTGTCCTCTTCTGCACTTCACAGAGGTGGAGGAGCTGTGGATCGGCCTCAACGACTTGAAACTGCAGATGAATTTCGAGTGGTCCGATGGGAGCCTTGTCAGCTTTACCCACTGGCATCCTTTTGAGCCCAACAACTTCCGGGACAGTCTAGAGGACTGTGTCACCATTTGGGGGCCGGTGAGACCCTCCCTTCCCATCACAGAGCCATAGAATCCATGCCTCCTTACCCCAGACCTCCTCACTGTCCCTCAGTAGGCCACCAGGGTTTTCTTTTTTTGGGGGGGGGAGGGGGTCGTCATGGGGCTTGAACTCTGGGCCTGGGTGCTGTCCCTCAGCTCTTCAGCTCAAGGCTAGGGCTCTACCACTTGAGCCACAGCACCACTTCCGGATTTTTTCTTTTTGCTTATGTGGTGCCGAGAAATCGAACCCAGGGCCTCATTCATGCAAGGCAAGCGCTCTACCACTGAGCCACCTTCCTAGCTCCCCAGGGTTTTCTTTTCTTTTCTTTTCCCTTCCTTCCTTCCTTCCTTCCTCCCTTCCTCTTTTTCTTTTCCTTTCTTTCTTTCTTTTTCTTTCTCTCTCTTTTTCTCTCTTTCTTTCCTTTCTTTCTCTCTTTCTTTCTTTTTTTCTTTCTTTCTTTCTCCCCCTCTCTCTTTTTTTTCTTTCTCTCTTTCCTTCATTTTTGCCAGTCCTGGGGCTTGAACTCAGAGCCTGGGCACTGTCCCTGAACTTCTTTTGCTCAAGGCTAGTGCTCTACCACTTGAGCCACATTCCTAGCCTGCCACCAGGGTTTTCATCTCATCCTCAACCCTACTAGCTGAGTCAGTCACCCTGGCCACATTATTTTGGGCCATTGGGAAGATGAAAGGAATTTACTCTCATGAAACCTTAGGCACATTTGCCTGACCATTCTTGGTCTCCCGCCAGCTATTCCTCCCCACCAGCAGGTGGCATCAGAACCCATATCATGGGGAAGCTGTAGGATCAGGATTAGTCTGCCAGTCTGCACCCTACGGGATCTTGAACTTAACTACAAGATCTTTTCTTTCTCTAGAAATGATAGGGTTCTGTTTGCCATAGTTTTAACTTCAACATGGTGTATGTAAGCAAATTAACTCAGGGCTTCCAATAGAGAAGAGACCCTTTAAAAAGAGAAAGAGCCAGGAGGACACCTTGCCTGTTTGGGAACCATGCAGAACATTCTGTCAGATGCAGTGCCAGACACTGAAGCAGCTGAGTTTTTGCCTTTGGGGATGTTATTTAACAACTTAAAAGCAGTTATTTATTGAGTACCCACTTTGTGCCAGGCATTTCCTGGGTGTGAGGATATATAAGCACTGTGCCCTTAGGGCTGGAAGGCTGTGTGTACCGGCAAGGGCTCAGGTACTTTTATGGGCATAGGACTAAATTCCTCTCAGCTTCTTCATCACTGAGCTTCTCAGCTGGGAGAATCTGGTCTAATTTGTAGATTCAGCTTTATCCTCATAGGTATAAAAACACAGTATATACAGGATTTGGTACTGTCTGTGGTTTCAGATATCCAGTGGGGATCCTGGAACACATCTCCTGTGCATAAGCAAGGACCTTGTACTTGGAAACATGCCTATTTCTGCTATTCAGCTACTCTAACAATCCTAGCCAGTTTTTTGTTTCTGGCTGGGGAAGTTGTTTTTGGTAGTACTGGGGTTTGAGCTCAGAGTCTCAGGCTTGTTAAGCAGGTACTCTACCATTTGAGCCACACCTTCAACCCCAGCCAGTTTGGGTTTGATGTTTCTAAAATGAGCCATACATAATCCAGCATATCTTTCTCTACTGAGGCATTGTTTGTTAGGGCTTTAGGGCATTTGCATATAAATGATGTATGCGCTCATCTACCTGTGAGACTTACAGAACTGAAAGTGTTTTCCCCACTGAACAGCCTGGGACACAGAGATGCTGTCACTTACTCAAAATCACACAGCAAGTCAGAGACAGGTCTAGGTTCAGAAGTTAGGTTCACAGAAAGACTGGAGGTATGGGATCTGGGATATGACTGTCCCTCACTGTGTGTTCCTAGGAAGGTCGTTGGAATGACAGTCCCTGTAACCAATCCTTGCCCTCCATCTGCAAGAAGGCCGGCCAGCTAAGCCAGGGGGCTGCTGAGGAGGACCATGGTTGCCGGAAGGTGAGGGTGTTTCTGGACCTGCCCTGAATGGGGCCAGCCAGCAGAGCCCCCAGGGTGAAGGAGTGGAAGGAATCCTTCAGCCTTTCCCAGCATGCATCCACTTCTCTAGCTTTCCAATTGCTCATTCCTGAAGGAGAAATATTGAGTGGGGTGGGATAGGGCAGGGACTATAGGAGGAAGCAGAGGTCCTCACCCCAGCCTTGAACCTTTTACCCTATCTGTGGGGAAGCCACTTCTCACCCACAGTAGAGAACAGGGAGGTGGAGGTGGGGATGACCTGAGTCTGGCCCGGTCAGAGTAGGAGGAGGCTGCTGGAGGGGTCTGTGTACCCCCAGGCCTTTCTCCTCTGTGCCTTGCTGGCATGTGCCTCAATGGAACACAGTGAGTGCTTGCCTGTCACCTCTGGAGGAATGAGGTCCCTTGGTAAGGGCCATCTTCTCCTTAGTCTACTGCCCTGGGCTCCTTTCCAACTCCCCCTGGGCTCCAGAAGAGGCTCAGAGAGGGGAGGGCTTAGGAATGAAAGGTGAGTGAGAGGAATCTTGAGGGTGTGAGTGAGTGAGCTGGTGCTGCCTTGTGGGGTGGTGGCAGGGGGGTGAGTGGCAGGGGTGTGGGGAGATTGCTTATAAAGCCTACTTTGTGGCCTTTGGGCTTCTTCTCCCAGCCCCTAGCTGAAGGTCTGGTCCTCACTCTGTTTTCCTACGGATTAAGCCCCTCACCACAGCCTGCCCACCTGCAACCAGACCCTCCTCCAGGGGTGGAGCAGGAAATGCCAGCCGGCATGCTCTTGATGGATGGGCTCAGCTGAGGAGTTTGCGCTCAGCAAGCTCCCAGTTTAGCCTGGAGACTTTGCTCTGGCTTGGGTGGGGTGGAGGGAGAGGAGTTGCTAATTGCCTGGCACCAAGGTCAGTCTGGAGGGGGGGGGGGAATAGAGGAGGGACATCTCAGGATAGCTAGAGGTCTTTGCCCAGCTCCTAATGGGCACATGTGCTCCCCTCCCCCATCATACCTTCTGCCCTGGCTCCTGCCACCACCCAGATACCAACATTGCACCTAGATTGATCTCTTCTCTGCTCCCCACAGAAAGGCTGCCTGGCCTCCCACTCAACCCCAGGCACATCCTCCCCAGTTTCAGCTTTTTCCAGACCTCTGAGAACTACTCCGTCCCCCTCCCCTACGTCCTGGCATCTCTCAGCTTTTTAGCTTTGGTTTCCCAGCCAACCAGCAGTTTCACACTGTACCTCTTTGTTTAAGTGCTACTCATCTTTCTGAGCTAGCCTGAGTCCATCAGCCACCTGCAGCTGTGCTCCATCCTGGCCTGACTATCATGGGTAACATGGGAGTGGGGAGAGAGGACACAGTGACTGGGAACAGAGCCCAGCATAGACCCTGCCCTCTCTGGGATTGAACCTGTGCCCCTGTTGGCCTTCTGCACCCCAGTATTTACAGACAAGGGTAGAGTCTTCCTCTCACAGACTCCCCTCTTCTGTCCTGTCTTGAGCCAGGGTTGGACATGGCATAGCCCATCCTGCTATTGGCTGGGAGAAGACCAAGTGACTTACAGCGAGGCTCGGCGCCTGTGTACTGACCATGGCTCTCAGCTGGTCACCATCACCAACAGGTATCGGAGGAGGCAGGAGCCCTGACCAGCCCTTGCCTGTGTCCTGACCTAATCTAACCCTTCTACCAAATAAGATAGCTTCCTGCCATCAGGACTACAAAGGACTCCAGGATCTTTTTTTTTTTTTTTTTGGCCAGTCCTGGGGCTTGAACTTAGGGCCTGGGCACTGTCCCTAAGCTGCTTCTACTCAAGGCTAATATTCTACCACTTGAGCCACAGCACCACTTCTGGCTTTTTCTGTATATGGGTACTGAGGAATGGAACCCAGGGCTTCATGCATGCTAGGCAAGCACTCTACCACTAAGCCACATTCCCAGCCCTCCAGGGTCTTTTTGAAATCTTGTTACAAGAAAAGTAGGTATGTGTATATACTAGGACTTGAACTTAGAGCCTTACACTCTCACTTGGCTGTTTGCTCAAAATAGCACCTTGAGCTGTGTACGCTACCACTTGGACCACACAGCTCTACTTCTTGCTTTTTCATAGTTAATTGGGAGATAAGAGTCTTATGGACTTTCCTGCCTGGGCTGGCTTTGAACCTCAATCCTCAGATCTCAGTCTCCTGAGTTGCTAGGATCATAGGCCTGAGCCACCGGCGCCCAGCAAGGAAGACATTCCCATATGAAATGACCTCAGGGTAGTGGAGGACAGGGGCAGGCCCAGGTGTGAATTGGATGCCCAAGAAAGGCAGGCCTTGGCTGTGTCTGATTGTCTCTGCTTTCTTCTCAGCAAGGCAAGAAGGTGTGGACAGTAGAAGAGGGAGCTTGGTTTCCTCCTCTGTCAAATGGAGCCTCTACTTCCTTTAGCCTCTACTGGTTGGGCAAAGCATTCAAGTTCCTGGGGCAGGGTACCTGGCCTAGAGATCCAGGAATGGGGGTAGTGCATTTCCTGCCTTGACCAGCCCATCTCCCAAAGGTTCGAGCAGGCCTTCGTCAGCAGCCTCATCTACAACTGGGAAAGCCAGTACTTCTGGACAGCCTTGCAGGACCTCAACGGCACTGGCTCCTTCCACTGGCTCAGTGGGGACGAAGTCATGTACACCCACTGGAATCGGGACCAGCCTGGTGAGCTTTGACTTGTCCATGGTGCTTTGGTCAACACCCCTTCTTTTTACTGGTCTTGAGGAAGCTGGAAGGCTGTGGTGGACTTAACCCTCTAGGACTGAGCCCTAGGGTTCCCCAGGAAACAGATCATTTCTACAATATGGCGTGTTGCTCAGGAGAGCAGCTTCTAGAGCCAAATGGCCTGGCCTCGGATCCTGATGCTGCTGGTGACTAGCTGGGCATCTCTGAGCCCAGGCCTCTTCTGTCAGATGGAGATTGTGGCGCTTTCCTCAAAGAGCTCATGTGAGGTTTTAGGATAGGCCCAGTGCTAACATAGGGAAAGGGCTAATATATGTAGAATAGGTATAGTAGTGTGCATAATACAGTGCTTGCTGTTAGTAGTATTAAAATTTCACATTAATTGCCTTTATCTTCCCCTAACCCTTTACATAACACATAAGGTGCATCAGAGGCTCAGAAAGGTTAAGGAACTTGCCTAAGATCTCACAGGAAATAACTGCAGAGCTGGGCCACTGCCTCATTCCTTCCTCCTCCCTTGGTTCTGTGCATGTCCCTGCAGAGATGGCCAAGCTGGTTCCTCCTGTCAGAGCTAGAGTGGCGAATCCTCTTTCATGTGTGGTCTCCTTTATCTCTTCCTCAGGGTATAGCCGTGGGGGCTGTGTGGCCCTGGCCACGGGGAGTGCCATGGGACTGTGGGAGGTGAAGAACTGCACCTCATTCCGGGCTCGCTACATCTGCCGGCAGAGCCTTGGCACACCAGTGACACCAGAGCTGCCCGGGCCAGACCCCACACCCAGCCTTGCTGGCTCCTGTCCGCAGGGCTGGGCCTCAGACACTAAACTCCGGTACTGCTATAAGGTAGGTCAGCCTGTTGGCAGCATGGCAGGGGGCAGAAGAGCAGGGCAGAGCAGAGAGGCAGCTTTCCTGGGCACCATCTGTGATCCAGAGATCCAGAGTGTGTGTTAGTCCTGGAGTTTGAACTCAGAACTTAGGGCTTGGATTGCTGTCCCTCAGCATTTTTGTTCAAGACTAGTGCTTGAACTGCAGCTCTACTTCTGGCTTCTTGCCAGGCACTGGTGGCTCTTGCCTGTAATCCTTAGCTACTCAGGAGGCTGAGATCTGGGGATCATGTTTGAAGCCAGACTAAGCAGGAAAGTCTGTGTAAGAAAAGCAGCAGCAGCTGGAAATAAAGCTGTGGCTCAAAGTGGTAGAGCACTAGCCTTGAGCACAAAAGCTGAGGGACACTGCCCAGGCCCTGAATTCAAGCCCCAGGAATGGTATGTACACACACACACACACACACACACACACACACACACACAAACAACAACAAAAAGACTTTCCTGGCTTCAGATCTTAGCCACCTTAGTAGCTAGGATTATAGGCTTGAGCCACCAGTGCCTGGCAAAGTAACTCTTCTAGTTCATCTATACAAGGACTTGGGTTCTATTCCCAGCATTACAAAACAACAAAATAAAAAGATCTGCTAGGTTGCACTGTAGAGACTCAGTTCAATAGATCTGCAAGGCGCCTGGTAATCTGCCATATTTTGGGGTCACGGAAGGAATCTAAGGTCTTTTATGAAGTGCAGAAACTAAAGTCTAAGGAAAGGAAGGAACTGGTCCATAGCACGTTGTAGCTCTGCTAAAATGGATCCCCACAGAGATTGGGCACAGAAGCTCTCACCTGTGCTGATGGTGCCTGCTTCCCTTTCCTGATGAGCAGGATTGTCCTTAGCAATGAAGCCACTGCATCCCACCCTCCTGCTGTCATAGAAACCCCTGAGGAGGAGGGCCAGTGGGCACAGCTTAAACAATGGGCTCTACTCATGCAGGTATTCAGCTCAGAGCGGCTACAGGACAAGAAGAGCTGGATCCAGGCCCAGGGGAACTGCCAGGAGTTGGGGGCCCAGCTGCTGAGCCTGGCCAGCTACGAAGAGGAACACTTTGTAGCCAACATGCTCAACAAAATCTTTGGGTACGGAGCTTGGGACCAGGCAGGGATAGGTGGGGAGGGGCTGTCTGCACAATCATGTTACCAGACTCCTGGATTTGCTGAGTAATGGGGACAGGAGGTGGGTAGAGTGAAAAGGACCCCAGTAGGGCCTATCTTGAGTGCTTGGAACACCTGGACCATTCTGTCCCCATCAAGTAGCCGTGTCCCCTGTAATCTCGGGTGAACATACTGGTGTGGCCCACTCATGCAAAGGAGACTGAGGTGCAGCCTTAGAGAGCCAGCAGCACCCACTCTGATGCACAAACTTGCCATCACAACGGATCCCAGTTGAGCACCCCCTCTGTTACAACAATAGCAACTCACAATCCTCAATAAACCCTTCTAAGACATTAAAGAAAGGCTGGAACTCGATGGCTCAGGGCATCGTTTCAGGACCCCATCTCTATCCTGTGGGCTCCAAGTACTGTTTTCTATGGCACACAGCATTTATATACCTTAGTATTGGGAAAAATCCAAAAATAAAACTTTTTATTTTTAATTAATTTTATTTTTTGATTATGAGGTACCAAGGAATTGAGCCTAGGGCCTCATGCATGCTAGGCAAGCACTTTTCTGGTCCCGGTTCCTGAGATCTAAATTCCAAGTATCTCTCCTAGCAATCAAGATTATGTGTTTTTTTGTTTTTTTTTTGGTACTGGTTTTGGGCTTGGACTCATGGCCTGTGCACAGACTCTGAGCTTTTCCATTCAAGGTTACTGCTCTACCACTTGAGCCACAACTCCACTTCCAGTGTTTATTTGGAGCTAAGAGTTTCACCAACTTTCCTGCCCTGGCTAGGTTTGAACAATGATCCTCAGATCTCAGCCTCCTGAGTAGCTAGGATTTCAGGCATGAACCACTATAACATTAATTATGTCATTTAATTAATTATGTCATTTAATTAATAACTGCAATAACTCAACATCACACCTTACCATTCATTGTGTATCTGATACTGTGGTAAATGTTCACAGTTCTCAACACCTCTGGAAGTAGTAATTTCCAGTGGCCCTCGAGGGCTAGGTTATTTGTCCTAGTGTCATAGAGTTGGGCTTGAATACAGGTTTATTTTTCTCCAGTCTGGGTTTTCTGGCTGTTTGACCATCAGCATGCAGAATTTTGCTGGGTAGGGCATCCCACACAGAAGCCAAGGGAAAGGGAGCCAGGCGACTGCCCCATAAACTGGACAATTTGCTTTAGCTCTCATCTCTAGAGAGAGAACTTGAACAAACAAAAGAGTGCTTTGGAGCTGGGTGCTGATGGCTCACACCTGTAACCCAGCTACTCAGTAGGCTGAGATCTGAGGATTGTGGTTCAAAGCCAGCCAGGGCAGGAAAGTCCATGAGACTCTTATCTCCAGTTAACCACCAGAAAAACTCTAGTGGGTAGAGCACTAGGGTTGAACAAAGGAGCTCAGGGACAACGCCCAGGCCTTGAGTTCACATTCCACGACCAACAAGAAAAAAAAAAGAAGGAAAGAAAAGGAAAGGAAAAAGAAAGAAAATGAGTGCTTTAGTTTAGCAGGTAGGGTGAAGCAAAGATGGAGCGGCCTCAACACAGAGCTGCCAGGTCATCAGTAGCCAAGGGAGTTTTGGCCCCTGTGATTCTCACTTCTCTTTTCTCTGTCCATCCCTGCATTGTACTGAAGTGAATCAGAGCCGGAGATCCACGAGCAGCACTGGTTCTGGATTGGCCTGAACCGTCGGGACCCTAGAGAGGGTCAGAGTTGGCGCTGGAGTGATGGCCTCGGGGTGAGGATTAGGGAGGAGGGGGCGTGGCTTGATTGTGGGTGGGATTTACCGGATGAGGGTGGTGCTTGGGGGAGGTGGAGTTCTAAGAGGCCAGAGTTTAAGAAAGCAGGCTGGAGATGAGAGCCCAGCCCAGTTTGGCGGTGTCCAGCTTAGGCCAGGCCTCTTGGTCCTAGAGATGGAGCCGCCTGTACCCTGTGTCTTAAGTCTCTCTTCCCTCCTCTACCGGGTTGTCCAGTTCTCTTACCACAATTTCGACCGGAGCCGGCACGACGATGATGACATCCGGGGCTGTGCAGTGCTTGACCTGGCCTCCCTGCAGTGGGTGGCCATGCAGTGCGAGACGCAGCTGGACTGGATTTGCAAGATCCCTCGAGGTGGGCTGGGGTAGCCCTGGGGGACATGCTCTAGAAGGAGAGAAGCGCAGCGGGGCCTGGCATCCTAGGGAGAGCCTGCCATCCCCGGCAGCATCTTCGTTTCTGTTCTCCCTTAGGCACGGAAGTGCGGGAGCCTGATGTCAGCCCACAAGGTGAGGCTCCACACCATGGCCAGGGGTTCCAGCCCCAGGGGGATGGACTTGGCTGGGGTTGGACACCATCACCCTGTTTTCCTCAGTGTGGAAGGAGGGGCAAGTCCAGGACCTGGAGCCTGGCACCTGGCCTGGCCTGGGTCTGTTGCGCTCCCAGCCTGGCCCACCTGCCACCTGCCCTTGGCCCTGCCCTGGCCCCTCGGAGAGCCTTTGGGCCCTGGCTGTGGCTCCCACCCCTGGGCTGCTCCCGCAGGCCGGCGGGAGTGGCTGCGCTTCCAGGATGCAGAATACAAGTTTTTCGAGCATCACTCCACGTGGGCGCAGGCGCAGCGCATCTGCACGTGGTTCCAGGCCGAGCTGACCTCTGTGCACAGCCAGGATGAGCTGGATTTTCTGGGGCACAACTTGCAGAAGGTGGGAGAGAGATAGCAAGGGGCATAAACTTTGGGGGAGGACCCATCGGGACCCAAAGCCAGGAGGCTGCCAACCTTCACCTTCCGCCCCTTCCCCAGTTCTCTCGGGGCCAGGAGCAGCACTGGTGGATCGGCCTGCACACCTCTGAGAGTGATGGGCGCTTCAGGTGGGAAACTTTGGCAGGCAGCAGGTGTGAAAGGAGTGTATGCGCAGGCGGCCAGCTCTGCCCCTAGGCACACCCCTAAGGGTGTGTTGGGGGAAAGATGTGATGTTTGAATTTAGCTCTGCCCCTCTCTTGACTGTGTGGCCTCAAGTAAGTGACTTAGCCTTTCTAGGCTTCTCATCTGAAAGTAGTGATTAATGGAGCCTGCCTTCTAGGATTCTGTGTGTGTGTGTGTGTGTGTGTGTGTGTGTGTGTGTGTGTGTGTGTGTGCATGCGCGCATGCGCGTGCGTGTGTATACTTGCCAGTGTTGGGGCTTGAACTCAGGGTCTATCCCTTAGCTTTTTTTGATCAAGGTCAAGGCTGACTTCTACCGCTTGAGCCACAGCTCCACTTCTGGCTTCTTGGTGGATAATTGGAAATAGTATTATGGAATTTCCTGCTCAGGCTAGCTTCGAACCTCAGATCTTAGCCTCCTGAATAGCTAGGATTACAGGTGTTAGCCACCAGAGGTGCCCATCTATGGAAGATTCTTGTGAGGATTAGAAATCCCTATACTGCAAAGAAAGAGGAAAGGACCAGGAAGGAAGGAGGAAGGGAGGGGAGAGGAGCAAGAAGAGAAGGAGGGAGGGAGGGGAGAGGAGCAAGGAGAGAAGGAGGGAGGGAGGGGAGAGGAGCAAGGAGAGAAGGAGGGAGGGAGGGGAGAGGAGCAAGGAGAGAAGGAGGGAGGGAGGGGAGAGGAGCAAGGAGAGAAGGAGGGAGGGAGGGGAGAGGAGCAAGGAGAGAAGGAGGGAGGGAGGGAAGAAATCCAAGTCCTTAGCACAGCATCCAACACATACTGAGCACTAAATAATGAAATAACAGCAGCTGCCTTCTAGTATACCTGGGATCACCATCATGAACAAAGCGACCTCAGAGCATCTGATCACCCAGAGGGGGGCTCTGCAGCCAGTGCTTGAGGCAGGACTGTGCTTAGAGCCCCTGTGAAGGAGTTTTCAGGAGTCTCAGAGAAATGAGGGCTGGGCTATTCTTGGAGTCACCAGGTCCTCAAGTCCCTGGCTGCCGGGGCTGTGTGGTTCTGTTCTTTAGTCTTCAGCCTTGGAGCTCCTGGATGTCTGTCACTCCCCCCCTTCTCCCCCCGCACCCCCTCCGGCTGGATGCTACCCTCATGCTGCATACAAGGGAGGCTGAGCCCTGGGTCAGTGCTGGCTGGCGTCACCCCTGTTCTGTGCCATTGCAGGTGGACAGATGGCTCCATTATTAACTTCATCTCCTGGGCAGCAGGCAAACCTCGGCCCCCAGGGAAAGAGAAGAAGTGCGTGTACATGACAGCCAGCCGAGGTGAGCGTGAGGTGGGGATGGGAAGCAGCAGTGGCCTGGGCCATCAGTTCTTATTCTTTGTCTCTTTTGGGGGAGGGGCAGGACTGGTACTGTGCTTTGAACTCATCCTGTCACACTTGCTAGGCAGAGGCCACTTTCAGGCCTTTCTGCTTTAGTTATTTTTCAAGCAGGTTGTTATGTTTTTGCCTGAGGCCACCCTCAGACTTCAATCGTGACACTATGTCCAGCCACCCCCCCCCCCTTTGGTTGTGGTACTTGAACTCAGGGCCTGGGTGCTGTCCCTGAGCTTAGGGCTAAAGCTAGTGTCTATCACTTGTGCCACAGTGTCACTTCTAGTTTTATGGTAGTTAATTGGGTATATGAATCTCATGGACTTTTCTGTCCAGGCTGGCTTCTAATCACCAACCTCAGATCTCAGTCTCCTGAGTAGCTAGGATTACAGGTATGGGCCACTGGCACCTAGCTGCCCAGCTTATTGATTGAGATCTCTACCTCCTAAGTAGCTGGGATTACAGACATGATCCTAGTTCTTCTCATTCTTTGTTCCCAAACTCAGGAAGGGCTAGACCTAGAGAGGGCTGGGCTCTGCTCTGCCTTATGGCCCCTAAGTTACAGAGGACTTGAGTTCAGCTGTACATGAGTCCCAACCCATGCTTTTCTTTCTTTCTCTTTGTTTTTTTCCCTTCCTTCCTTCCTTCTTTCTTTCCTTTCTTTCTTTCCTTTCTTTCTTTCTTTCTTTCTTTTCTTTCTTTCTTTCTTTCTTTCTTTCTTTCTTTCTTTCTTTCTTTCTTTCTTTCTTTCTTTCTTTCTTTCTTTCTTTCTTTCTTTCTTTCTTTCTTTCTTTCTTTCTTTCTTTCTTTCTTTCTGCCACTCCTAGGCAAAAACAACTCAGGGACTGGGCTCTGTCCCTGATCCTCTCTGTGCTCAAACCTAGTGCTCTACCACTTGAGCCACAGCACCACTTCTGGCTTTTTCTCTTTATGTGGTACTGAGGAATCAAACCCAGGACTTCATGCATGCTAAACAAGCACTCTACCACTAAGCCACATTCCCAGCCCGAACTCATGCTTTTCTTGTGGCCAAGAGTACTACCAGAAACTGCCCTGCCCTATCCTGGGGTGACTGTCCTCCCCTCCCTTTCACAGAGGACTGGGGGGACCAGAGGTGCCTGACAGCCTTGCCCTACATCTGCAAGCGCACCAACAACACGGGGCAGACACAACTCCCTGACCTGCCACCTCCAGCCCTGGGGGGCTGCCCTTCTGGCTGGAGCCAGTTCCTCAACAAGGTAGGATGTGGGGGAGAGATTGCCAGCATGGCCAGGGGAGAAGATGTGAACCTGGGAGGGCTGAGCCTCAGGAGTTCTGGCTCTTTGGCAACATTCAAGTCATAGCTTCTTGCATTTACCCACCAACCTCTCTTTTACTTGGGCCCAAAGCCAGGGCTAGAGTCCTTGGAAAATGGCTCAATGTGGTAGGATCTTCTGGTCTACCAGAGTGGAAGGGGTCCAACTACATCAGTGAGATTTTTGGATCCATCATTGTCAAACTTTTTGATAATGAACTCCCCCTAGTAAAACAAAATATGGACCATACATTCCCAGACTCTGTGTGTGTGTGTGTGTGTGTGTGTGTGTGTGTGTGTGTGTGTATTTGGTTGTGTGTGTGTCAATAAAAATGTTTGTAAAGGGCTGGGAAGGTGGCTCAGTGGTAGAATACTTGCCTTGCATGCATGAAGCCTTGGGTTTGATTCCTCAGCACCACATAAGCAGAAAAGCCAAAAATTGCACGGTGGCTCAAGTGGTAGTATGGACAGTACCCAGACCCAGAGTTCAGGCCCCACGCCTGACCAAAAAGAAAATGTTTGTAAGAACAAAACTTAAAACATAAGTTAAAGATAAAAAATAGTATTTTTAAAATGAAAACTTCTTTATGACTGCTATGTAAACATGTTTGGACTCACTCAAATGATTAGTTGTAGTAATTATCAACATTTAAATAATGTTTAGAAGCAATGTGATTGCATATATTCCACAATTATTTTCCTCTATAATAGAAAATTCTCTTCTTTTTTTTACTTTAAATTTATTTTTAACTGGCACCTACGAGTATAAAAGTTGCATGTATTTTTTGGGTACCATGTGATACTCAGTATGTGTTTACATGGTGAGCTGTTTAACTCAGAGTCAGCATCCATCTTCTTAAGTATTTATTATGCTTTGGGGGTGAAAGCATTAAATAATCATGAATTCTAGCTTCTTTGAAGTACACAGCACATTATTGTTAGCTATAACCACCCTACTGTAGAGCAGCACCCCAGCACTAATGGGTCCTGTCTTACTGTAACTTATACCCACTGATCAGCCTTGACTGCCCCTCCACTGGGAATTCCCATTCTATCTTTAACTTCTGTGAGATGAGCTTATATTCTGCATAGGAGTGAGCTCACATGGTATTTATTTTTCTGTTATTATATTTAAAAATCTCAGTGTGGGGCTGGAGATATGGGCCCAGTAGTAGAGCAGCCTGCCTAGCGAACATCAGACTGGGAGTTCAAACCCCACTACCACCACAAAAAAAAAGTTGTTGAGCGCCAGTGGCTCACAACTGTAGCCCTATCTACTCAGGAGACTGAGATCTGAGAATCATGTTCAAAGCCAGCCCAGGCAGGAAAGTGCATGAGACCCTTATCTCCATTTAGCCACCACAAAACTGGAAGTGGAGTTGTGGCTTAAAGTGGTAGGGTGCTAACCTTGAACAAAAGAGCTCAAGCACTCAGACCCTGAGTTCAAGCCCCAGGACCAACACACACACACACACACACACACACACACACACACACATCTTTCCTTCCCTAGGCTAGCTTTGAACCACTCAGATTTCAACCTCCTGAGTTAATATTACAGGCATGAGCCATCAGTACCTGGCTTGTCCTTGAGCTGTGTGTGTGTGTGTGTGTGTGTGTGTGTGTGTGTGTGTGTGTGTGTGTGTGTGTGTTGGTCCTGGGGCTTGAACTCAGGGCCTGGGCACTATCTTTGAGCTCTTTTGCTCAAGACTAGCAAGCTACCATTTTGAGCCTCAGCACCACTTCCAGTTTTTGAATGGTTAATTACAGATAAGAATTGTACAGGGACTTTTCTGCCCCACCTGGTGTGGAATCTCCATCCTCAGATTTTAGCCTTCTGAGTAGCTAGGATTACAGGTGTGAGTCATCAGTGCCCAGCTCCATGAGACTCTTAACTTCCAATTAACTACCAATAAATAAATACATAAAGCCAGAAATGGAGCTGTGGCTCAAGCGGTAGAGTGCTAGCCTTGAGCAAAAAAGCTCAGGGCATTGCCTAGACTCCCAATTTAAGCTCTAGGATCAGCACAAGAAAAAAAACTTTTTTTTAAATCCCCAAGAGCATTGGGCACGTGTCTGAATCAGCCTCTGTGGCAAGTTAGGAGGGTGGAGTCTAGTCTGAGGACACCCAGACATCCTGGTTCTCAGCCGCCAAACTTCTCAGGACCCATGCTGAGGTGGGTGGCGGGGTTTCTGGAATCCGCGGGATATGGAGGTACGGCCGCGGCTGAGACACCTCCTTCCCACAGTGTTTCAGAATCCAGGGCCAGCACCCCCAGGACCGGGTGAAGTGGTCAGAGGCACAGTTCTTTTGTGAGCAGCAAGAAGCCCAGCTGATCACCATTGCAAATCCCTTAGAGCAAGGTACAGCCAGACCATGGGGAGGCCGCCCCCCTCATGTCCTCCAACCCAGCCCCCCCCTCCTCCCCCCCCCACTATCTCCCCACTCAGAGCAGTCAGGGATCAGCCCATCATTCTTGACTCTATTCTGGGGGTCTGTAGCGTTCATCACAGCCAAGCTACCCAATGTGACCTTTGACCTCTGGACTGGCCTCCATGCCTCACAGCGGGACTTCCAGTGGGTGGAGCAGGAGCCTCTGCTCTATGCCAACTGGGCACCGGGGGAGCCCTCTGGCCCCAGCCCTGCTCCCAGCGGCAACAAACCGGTGAGGACATCCTTCCGCTCTCTCCTGGCTTGTCTGCCCTCATTCCTTCTTTCTTCCCTTTGGGGGGCAGGCAGTGGTACAGCTGGGGGAAGCAGCCCCCATGGGACTCCCCTGAGCAGCTCCTTCCTCCCCCAGACCAGCTGTGCGGTTGTCCTGCACAGCCCATCGGCACACTTCACTGGCCGCTGGGATGACCGGAGTTGCACTGAGGAGGCCCACGGATTCATTTGCCAGAAGGGCACAGGTATGTGTCACCAGTGCACCTGGAAGTCTAGCACTGAGCCAGCTGCCAGGAGCCATGCCATCATGAGGAGTGGAGGGTCCCTGAGTCTTAGAGGCCCTTAGGACAGGGAGTCGTGTATCTGCTGGGGAATCAGATCTCAGGTGGTGGAAACTCAGGCGCTGAGAGTTGGAAAGACAGTAGCAGCCCTGAGGGGTCCTGGCTATAAGATCTGGGTGTGTGGCGGGCTCCCCTGGGAAAGCTGAATATTGGGTGCCTGACAAACACTGGGTGCATGCCTGGGGTAAGAGGCCCCTGAGCTTCCTCTCACTCCCTGCATGGTGTCTTTCTGCCCTGGGTTTGTTTCTTGGGCCAGAGTAAGGCCAAGGCTCTAGCTTCTTCCTCTATCTCTATCTCTATCCCTCCTACCACCCTGCCCACCCCCTCCCCCCTCCCGCCCCAAGTCTCATGCCTGGGAATGAGATGAGGGTGGCAGAGCCCAGCCTGAGCCCTGCCCCCTTCCCTGTAGACCTTTCCCTGAGCCCATCCCCAGCAGCATCGCCCCCTGCCCCCGGCACGGAGCTCTCCTACCTCAATGGCACCTTCCGGCTGCTGCAGAAGCCTCTGCGCTGGCATGATGCCCTCCTGCTGTGTGAGAGCCGCAACACCAGCCTGGCCCACGTGCCTGACCCCTACACCCAGGCCTTCCTCACACAGGCTGCCCGAGGCCTGCGGGTGCCACTCTGGATCGGGCTGGCCAGTGAGGAGGTGGGCCCCCAACACTGCAGCCCCCAACCTCACCCTGCCCACTGCCTGGATTTCCCACCCGCCCCCTCCCCTCGTCCCTTTCTCCTCCGCCCAACCTCTTCCCTATTCCACTGACTGTCTCCTCTTCTTCCCACCCATGGCCTCTTCATGCCTAGGGGTCCCGGCAGTACTCCTGGGTCTCAGAGGAGCCCCTGAGCTATATGAACTGGCAGGATGGAGAGCCCCAGCACTCAGGGGGCTGCACCTACCTGGATGTAGACGGGGCCTGGCACACCACCAGCTGCGACACCAAGCTGCAGGGAGCGGTGTGCGGAGTTAACAGGGGTGAGCACCACCTACTGAGGTCCAGGTCTGGGTAAGGTGGTCCTGGGAGGGTACTGGGCTGCGTCTTCAATCCTGTACCTCCTCCTCTCCCCCAGGGCCACCTCCTCCCCGAAGGATAAACTATCACGGCAGCTGTCCCCAGGGGTTGGCTGACTCTGCGTGGATCCCCTTTAGGGAGCATTGTTACTCCTTCCACATGGAGTTGCTGCTGGGCCACAAGGAGGCGCTGCAGCGCTGCCAGAGAGGTAGGTGGAGACAGGTCAGCCCAGGCGGGCATTTCAGAGGGCCTCCTGTGTGGTCACTCAGAAGTCAGTCACCTTGCTGCACAGGTTCTTTTGTTTTCAAGGCAACTCTTGTTTTCAGGAACTCTTCATCCTCTTTGCCAGCCTGGCTATGGCTCACAGCCTTTTCATTGTGCCAGTACTGGGGCATCATGCTGGCTTACTTGGCTTTTTCACTCACAGCTGGCAGGCGCTCTGTCACCGAAGTCATGCCCCCAATGCAGGCAATTTGCTGATTAATTAGACATAGAGTTTTGTGGACTTTTCTGTCTAGGCTGGCATTGAAGTGATTTTCATATCTCAACCACCCAGGAAGCTAAGATTACAAGTGTGAGACCAGTGCCTTCACTTTCTAATTGCTACAGACTATATGTAACATGTACAGTATAGAGAACGCAGGTGTCATCTGTACAGAATATTTCTATAATGTACACATGCATACAAATACATGGATTCCACACTATCCTGTATTGGATGCCAGAGAGGAAGGTTAAGGTTGCTTTTTTTGGAAGGGGGACGGTCTGCTACTCCAGGGAGACCTAATGGCCCTGACTGGGCCTCCTTTATGTCCAGTGGGTGGGGCAGTCCTGTCCATTCTGGATGAAATGGAGAACGTGTTTGTTTGGGAGCATCTGCAGAGCTCGGAAGGCCAGAATCGGGGTGCTTGGCTGGGCATGAACTTCAACCCCAAAGGTAGGTATCTCAAGGAGGTGAGTGGACCTGGGCTTGTGCTGTAGGAGAGGTGCCCTCCCTTGTTCCTCCCCAGGTTGGAGAGGCATGGGAAGAGAGGAGGGTTGGTCCTGGAGCACTGGCCATCTCCCCCTGCTCCTGCCCCGCCTTGCACCCCTGAACCTACCCCCCCAGTGCCTTCTTTTCGACAGGAGGCACACTGGTCTGGCAGGACAACACAGTGGTGAACTACTCTAACTGGGGATCCCCTGGTCTGGGCCCCAGTATGCTGAGCCACAACAGCTGCTACTGGATCCAGAGCAGCAGTGGGCTATGGCGCCCTGGGGCCTGCACCAACATCACCATGGGCGTTGTCTGCAAGCTCCCTCGAGGTGAGCGGGCATCCTGGCAGGTCCAGGAGACAGCGGGTCAGGGGTCAGAGGGCATGAATAGACAGGACTGAGACAACTGGGACCCTTTCTGGGGATCCATTAGCCTGTAGGAAGTGCTGGCTGTGGGACTTAACCTTCCAAGCTGGACAGCAGGCCCCCAGAGGTCAGCAAATCCTGCAAAGTGCTTTCCAGGTGTTGGCTCAAGCGATTATTATTACTGTTATGGCAACTGTTACCAACCTGTCTCTTCCTTCTTCTGCAGTGGAGGAGAGCAGCTTCTCCCCATCAGGTGAGTGGAAGGCACTGCTAGAGTAGGCCCTGCTCTTCCCCTCGTCCCCTGCGGGCAAGACTGCAGCCTGATGTCTACTCTCCCCTGCAGCTGCGCTCCCTGAGAACCCAGCTGCTCTGGTGGTGGTGCTGATGGCGGTGCTGCTGCTCCTGGCCCTGATAACTGCAGCCCTTATCCTCTACCGGAGGCGACAGAGCGTGGAGCGTGGGGCCTTCGAGGGCGCCCGCTATAGCCGTAGTAGCTCTGGCCCTGGCGAGGCCACTGAGAAGAACATCCTGGTATCGGACATGGAGATGAATGAGCAGCAGGAATAGAGCCACGGGTGTAGTCAGGGCCATGATCAAGCGCTGGGGAGGCGGGGCCCCAGGACAGCCAGGATCCCCCCCCAGCCAATGGAGGGGAGGCCCTGGGAGTCACTGTTGGGAGCTGGGGCTGGGGGGACAGGCCTGGGCTGGGGGAGGGCTCCTACTCTCCTACAAAGGCTGGGCTGACACCCAGATGGGTACAGCATGGAGATTTCCTTTCTGGGGGCCTGAGGTCTTGTCACCTGGGCACAGGTCCCTGTAGTAACCAGAGGCAGGTTAGGGAGGGCCAAGGAGAGCCTCTTCTTACCTCCCCAGCCCCCCCAGCCCAGGCCTAATGACACCCCCACCCCCAATACCTCTTCCTTGTAGACCTAGAGGCCTGTGCTGGCCCCTCAGCAGCTCCCTGCCGCTTCTCCTCTCCTGCCTGGCTGTCTCAGCTCAGTGACCCTCGCCCTGCCTTTCTCCTAGCCCCTCTTGAACCAGGGCTCTGAAGTCAGGGAGCTCCTTAGCTCATAGTGAGGGTCAGCTGATGGCTGAGCATCTGTCACTATGGCTGGAGTGGCCATGGGGTGTGATAGGAGGGGCCTGGGTAGGTGGACCCCAGAATGGGCACCAGTGTGCTTTTTGCTGGGGTGGAGACATGACTTGGGGGAGACATTCCATTCACCCCGTGGGGAGCTAGGCTGAGTTGGGGTGTCATCTCCTGCCGGATGGGGGGAGGGTTATGTCCCTGAAAGAGTCCCCTGTGGGGACCAAGATCCCTAATCAGCTCCTAATCAGCGCCTGCTCTGGTTTGGAAAGAGGTGCCAGGGTCCAAGAGGCCTGGGAGAAGCAGCGGGAGCCCAGGACGATGCCAGGTGCCACCCTCTAGTGGAACTCAGAGGAACCGCGCCCCAGCTTCTGGGGAGGGTCTCAGCCGGCCACCAAGGATGGAGTGTGGAAACAATGTGAACACTTGAAAACATGGTCCCTTTTATTATTTTTTTGTAGTTCTTAATTTTTTTAATGTGCCCTTATTCTAAAAGAGTAAAAAGTCAAAAAGAAAAGCAAACCAATAAAACACCTTCCAGAGGCTTGAGAGCTCAGGGTTCCAGTCTTGTCCTGGGGTCAGCCTTTGCTTTTGGAACCCTTATCATAATGTTTCTAAAGCCCGTGTCAAGGTCCTTGGGCACTCTCATTTTCGTACCCTTCTGCGTCTGCTGATCTATTATGTTCCCTAGAGTGAGGGAGAACTGAGGATCTGGGCCACATCTGTCCAACATGCACCTGCTCATCATTACAAGCACTGAGCCCAGTGCCTTTGAGCGCATGCAGAAATGCCAGCTGTGGTTCCAGGGGAGCACTCAAGATCCCCGAGTAGGGACTCCACCATCATCCTTCTAAGGCAGCTGTTGGATCATACCTGCTTTCTAGCTGCTGGAAAGTTCTCTTCTGTCTTTGGGGACTTTGGACCCTGAAACCACCCAGAGGTGGACACATGGATGGCAGGAAGTTCCCTCATGTTCATTTAACAGATGTTTGAGCTAGAGCGACCTCAGAGAACAAAGAGCAAGCCCGACAGCAAGAGGGGATGCTGGGAGGAGGAATGAAGCCGGACAAGGGCAGGGTGCTGGTTTGGACTGCCTGAAGTGGGGTCCTACCAGCGGGAGGGAGATACATGGAGCCTAAAAGAAGTGGAGGATGGGCAGCATAGACATGCGGGCCCCAGGGAGGAGTTGGGGGTCCCTGGTATCCAGCAAAGAGGCTAGGCCTGAGGAGGATTATAGAAACGTGTGTGTGTGTGTGTGTGTGTGTGTGTGTGTGTGTGTGTGTTGGGTGGGTCATTTTAAAATATGCTTAGAAGGAGGGGGATGGCCAATCTGACCTTTTAACAAGATTGTTCTGGCTAGGATATGAGCAAGAGACAATGGGTAGGAAGCAGGAGAGAGAGCAGGAAGGCCATGAGGAAACTCTTGTAATAATTCAAGCAATAGGACGAGGTGGTTGGTTTGGCTCAGAACTGCAGCCTTCAGATGCTCTGTGTGTGTGTGTGTGTGTGTGTGTGTGTTTGCCCTGCTCATGGCTTTTTAAATATACATTTCTACTTCTATGAATAGGCAATGCCGTCACATGGTTGGAACACTGAAGGATATAAAAAGACACACAAAGATACACATTGAACATTCTTCCTCCTACCCCATTCCCATCCAGCCTGCAGCCTCCTGCCCTGCTGGCTTCCTGTGTCTCTTTCCAATGTTTCTTTATAAAAACATGAGCGCGCCGGATCTGCCCAAAGGGATGAGGGACACACACTGGGACTTGTATGAGCTGAGGGTTGGATGTGCTGCTGGAGGGGTTGTGGAGGTAGGGGGAAGCCCTCTGCACTTTCTGGAGAATGGGTGCCATTAGCCAGAGATGGGACCCTAGGACCTTGTGCGCTGTATTCCTGAGTCCAAGACTAGGGGACCTGGCCCCAGCTGTCCCCTCTGTAACTCAGCAACCCCTGCATTTGTGGGGCAGAAGGTGCTGGTCACTGGAAGGGGGGCCCTTAATGATTAACTCACTTCACCCTGAAGTGATAGGCTCTCCCAGTCCAAGCCAGATAGGCTCCCTTTGTGAATGAAGTGCCTGCCACAGACCACAACTCAAGAGTCACTTGACAGGCTGGCTGGGAACCACTCTGAGCCAGTGACCTCCTCAGATGCCCCTGACCCTTGCTCTAGGAGAGAAGGAAGTAGAGGAGTGAGGCCAGGTTCACAGGAGCCAGGGGGAGGGGAGGACCCCCCAGTGCGGCTCAGGGGACGGGCCTGCCGTCAACCCTTGTCCAGCAGCCTTCCACTGTGGTTGGAGTCTCATCAGAGCCCTGCACTGCCATGCAAGCATTTCCCATGAGCCCCAGGGGTCTCCCTGATGGAGGCTGCTGTCTGCCCAGTGGTGGCTCAGAGGACCTGCTGGTCACTCTGGAAGTGCAGGAGGCAGGCTCTAGGCCTGATTGCATTAGAACACGTGGCAGAGCCTCCCTTCTCCCTGTTCATTTCAGTACACAAGTGCCTCTTCCATGTGCCAAGATGTTTGCAGGGTGGCAGATGTCCGAAGCCTGTCCCAGTGGGTCTGGGCAAAGGGCGCTGTCTGCCAGGCACTGTGCCCAGGCTTCCCTCGCAGGACTCAGCCGGCCCCACTCTGGCCACCTGGACATTCAGTGACAACTCAATGAATCCGAGGCGGCTGTAGAATGGCATCCTGGCAGTCACTCTTGTGTCATGTCGGGGATGGCCTCCTCCCAGGTATCCTGGCAGGGCTGGCCTGGCCCAGTGGGGAGAGGAGCCAGCCACACCACGTGGCTCTTCTGGACCGAGTGGCCTGAACCTGGCCGAGCTGCCTGAGGCCCCAGGGCTTGTGAGCATGGCAGGCTCACGGTGAAGAATTCCATCTTGGGGAAGGCACTGAGGAAGGCAAGCAGGAAAGGGGAGAGGAGGAGAAAGGACACCAAGGAAATCAGGGGTCGTGAGCGGGGACCAGAGTAAGATAAAAGCATTCAGATGGCTCTGTGGGGCCTGACTTCATCTTAGGCCAGGAAAAGGCTGTCCTCAATCTTTATTCCTACCAGAATCAGCTCCCAGTAAACGTTTTGCTTGGTTTTGGTATCTGTACTAGGGCTTGAACTCAGGGCCTAGGCACTGTCCCATAGCTCTTTTGCTCAAGGTTGACACACTCTACCACTTGAACCACACATCCACCCATGTCTAGCTTTTTGGTGGTTAACTAGAGATAAGAATCTTATGGACTTTCCTGTCTGGATTGGCTCTGAACGATGATCCTCACATCTCAGCCTCCTAAGTAACTAAAATTACAGATCTGTACCTCTAGCCCCCAGTTAGTTCCCAGTACAGAGGGGCAGAAAGCAGGCAAATGCCAGCCCTAGGAGATCTGGCAGGAAAACAGTTGCAAGTGGCCCTTTTGTGCCAGAGGAAGATATGCTGCTGGCAATGAGGTTCAAGGTCACATATTCAGGAGAAAACAGTCTTCTATCAGCAGGTGGAGAACTTGCTCTAGGCTTTCCAAGGAAATACTAGTCAGCACTTTTCTAGCCCTGTTGGCATTTCTGCCTTTATTTCCAAGTGCTTCTGAGCTTTGAAGTCTAGGGGGACCAAGGTCCACAATGGGGACCAGTATGGTCCTCGCTCTGCCAGGTTATGTTGCAGAGCTGTGCTGCCCTTCTGTACCTCTCGGACTGGGCAGCCTGGGGTATCTTTCAGGGGCTTTCAGAGCTTCAGGGGCTCTAAACATGGCGTCAGCTATATAGTTCCTCCGTGATAATGATAAGTTTGTCAGCACAGTCATTCCTGAGTATCTGAGGAGGATTGGTTCTAGGACCTACTGCAGCTACCCAATCTGACAGTGTCAAGTCTCATATATAAAATTGGCATAATATTTCCCTGTAATTTGTGCGCCTTTCCTCCTGTGCGTCATTTGGTGGTGCTGGAATTTGAACTGAGGACTTCGTGCTTGCTAGGTGCTCTACCACCCCACACCCTTTTTACCTTATTTTTCAAGCGGGATTTTGCTCCCTCCCTCACCCCGCCCCCCCTCGGCCAGGAGCTGGCCTCATCCTGTGATCCTCCTACCTTTACCTCCCAAGTAAATGGGACTACAGACATGCACTGGCCTCTCCCATGTACTTAAAATCGTCTCTATATGATGTAATTCCTATGAATTGTGTAGGGGAAAAGTATATTAGAAATTCCACAGGATTTTAATATTTTCTATCCCATGCTGGTTGGATCTGTGGATGCTAGACTTAAGGGTATGGAAGCCTGGTTGTCTTTACCATGTATGAGTCCTGTTCTACTTGATGCTTGTTCACTTATGTCATGAGGTAAGTGTTACTGTCTCCACTTTGCAGATGAGGAAACAGAGGCGCAAGTAGCCGAGCTTGCCCTGCCCATTCTACCCCTTCCAGAATTGGAAGAGGTGATGGGAGGGGCAACGGGGATGGAAGCGAGGCCTCTTACGAGCTGCCAGTCAGGCTTTGAGACTCAAGAACTTTGATTTACTCAAGGAGTAGAGTGCTTGCTTGGCCAGCACAAGGTCCTGAGTTCAAACATCAAGGATGGCCTTCTTTCCTTTGTTCCTCCGTGGCTTCCCTTCCTCAGGAGGAAGGAGCTGAAGGTCCGTAGGCTGGAGCAGGGCCGTGGGTACAATGCAAAGAAATGATGGGCTCTGCTGTTCCAGTAAACATAGATCTTGAAGCCCACACTTACCCTCTTGGAGCTGTTAGAGATGAGAGTTTACTACCAGATGGGAAAGGGGCACTTGGAGTCTCTTTGCTGTGTATGGATTCTTAGCTCCCCAGTTTGACCTTGAGACCCCCACCTCTCCACTGCCTAACAACCCCATTCTAGCCCTCCATGCCCCCGCCATCTGCCCCCTCCTGCCTCACCTCCTTGCTCCTCCATCTCTCAAGCCCCTCTCTCTCCTCCATGCCCTTTGTTGTACCCCTTGGCTCTAGCATCCCATACCTCAACTTGGGAGCTGGTAAAGGTGTTGCCATCTCTCCCAGGCAGTGGAGCAGAGGGATTAAGCACATGGCCTTGGCCCAGTAGAGCCACAAATAGCAATCCTCCAGATCCCAGCGTCATGCTTGTGAACTTGGGTGTGGTTCCTTATCTTCCATGAGGTTCAATTTCCTGCCAGGTAACTTGGGGTTAATAATAGTTGCTTCACAGGATTATTTGGATTACAGAGACATTTCAAGTGCCTATTTTTTTCCCCCAGGATCTACAGCTCTTAGGCAGTACTGGAGGGTAGGAAGGGAAGGGGCATACAGTCTCCTGTTACCCTTCTTTGACTTTTTCTGTCTATATCTCTTTGTCCCAAGAAGGCTGAGCCCGTGGGGGGTGGGTCTCATCACACCTCACAGCCTGGCACATACTTAAGAGTCATCATGCCAGCTTCCAGAAGAGCCAAAGGCTGGCAGAGGCCCTGTGTGTCTCAGCCTCTGGTAGAGGCTGGCAAGAATTACACCCCCACCCCCCATTACAGAGGGAAACGCAGCCCTTTTTTAGCTCTGCCTTTTCTGACCGGAGATTCGGCCC